CCTCATCAGTTAGGGAAAATAAAAGTTCCCGCCCATTGCTAAAAAGTTGGCTGAAATAAGCAGCTTGATACCAAACTATCATTGTTAAAAGACTACTCATAATATTAGAATGCACCCAATAATTGTAGTTGTAAATATAAATTAAAAATAGCTCAATGCATTAGTTACGGGATAAATCCACAGACGAATATTTGTAATTTTAGCATGCAAAACAAAGGGCTCTTATTTCGAAAATGCTCGATCCGGTAGAGCGCGAGCCGCAATTCACAGGTTCGGTCTATGTATAACAAACGCACAACAGAGACGTGCAATAATTATTTAAATTATGTGATTATTAAATATAAAGTTGAATTCGATTTTTTAATAACAATTCAAGTCTCACGTTTTTTCGACAGTAGATTAAAATCTCTTTGCTTTGACGGCCATTTTCGAGATCTTCAAGGGGATTGGCCGGTGACGTCATATCCTCCTGTCTGAATTCTTCTTCTTCTCCCTTTTTTTGTCAATTCGCATCGATTTCGCGCATTAGCGCCACCTACTGTTATCTTGATCCAGAGACTCCAACAACTATCCATTCATCATCCTTATTACCTACTAAATTAAAACATTATACGCTACAGCAAACTATACGTGTTCAGATCCTCTGGCTTAAAAACAACAACAAAAAACGTTTTATTTAAACAAAGCTTCTCTATTATCATTTTCCTGTTCTGGTTTGAATGTTTCTCAACGTTATTTCAGTTACCCCTTTCCTCTGAATCTCTTCAAATACTTTAAATCTATCCTCTTCATAACGTTCACAATACATGATAACATGTTATAGGCCTAGCCTACTGTTTTTCAATGCCACCCTATCTGGCTCCCAGACTTGACACACATCTCATTATAGCCTATTCAACACTCGTTTACACGTATCTTCCATCTTTTCATTATGCCCTTTCCATGTGAGTCTGCTGTCTAACTAGATTCCAAGAAACCTAATTTTGGATACCTGTTCTAGATTGAAATGGAACATCTATACACTATCCAAAACTTCCATTCTGTCTTTCAGAAGATTTCTTTTTAACATCTCTACTCTTACTCTCTTTCTCTTTTCACACAAGTTTCTGGAAGAGTTAACCTTAATAAACTCATCTTGAATCCTGTCTGAATTCTTTCCGGTGTTTGAAGTTTAACCAAAGAAGAAGAAGAAGAAGAAAAAACAGCTGTAACCATTAGGTGGAGCCAAAGAGACACAGCAGGCATATTTAAGGAGAAAAGCAAACAATTAATTGTAGCCTATTTCAAATCTTTTGAAATGGCATACTTTTATTTAATTACAATTTCAAGAAAAAAAGCTTTTCTCTTTTTACTGCATTATACTGGGCTTACAAGCCTAATTTTACAGGTAATTTCAGTCGGAATATTAGATCTCAAATATTGTTAAGTTACTTATTCATGTATTATTTCAGGTAAACCTTCATAAATGTTGATGGTTGATGGTCTTTAGTCTTTATTTCTTACTTGACCCTTTCTACAGATTTTAGTTTAAAAATATATATACTTAAAAAAAATACTAAAAATAAAAGTTCTGAAAGGGGGTTTTCACGGCAGTGTATTATTTTGGGTAAGGGTAACCCTTACCCTAACCCCTTTTTTTCTGTGTGATTGAGCATTTTAATAATATAAAGAACCACAATAAAGAACCTTTTGTAGAATGGAAAGATTTTGTGACTGAAAAATGTTCTTCACCATATGTTAACCCGGGGTTAAAACCTAGGGTTTAAAAAGGTTTTGTGAAAACACATTTTGTGAATTTGCTACTGATTTTGAAGCAATTAACCAGCAGTACACTGTAAAAAATTTTTGTTGGTTTAACTTAAAAAAATTAAGTAACCTGGTTGCGTTTAAGTTCATTGAAATGGAAAAAGTGAGTTACTACAATGAAGGAGATTGATTTAATCATCAGAAACTCAAAATAATATGTTATCTGAACTAAATAAATTATTTAAGTTGATTTGACAAAAGAAAAAATGTTGTGATTACAAATCATGAAAATATTGATTAAAGTGTTCTAGGTGAAATTGAACCAAAAAAAGGTGGTGATATATACTTTTTCTATCTAACATATATAACATTATTAGTAATATGTTTTGTAACAATACGTTGCAGCCTACCATATATCACTCACAGGTTCAAACAGGTTTTGCACTTGTTCATCACGAGCAGTGGAGGACTCAAGAATTACATCATTTAACGTCTTTTCCCTTGGGAACTGAAACTGCTGAAAATAATCTTGATAAATAATGGATTATGGTCACCTGATCCACATTATAGCCTAATCTGTCATTGTCTTAATAGGAAAGGTTTATGTAAAAATGACAAATAAAGAGACACAAACAGCACACCTTGTCTCTGCTACTACTCCCATGATATCTATTTACATAATCAGCTGCTTCTTGTTACAACACAATCTCAGTCTGTTGTGAGCGCCTCCTCCTCTCTTATCAGCACATGGTCAGTGTTTCAGCTCACACTCAACACCTTCAGCGCTGTGCTCAACAACATCTTCCTCCGAGGCAGGTATCCATTTACAGGTATCCATTTACTTTACATTGTTATTATGCCTGTTTGTGTTATCTTTTATGTTTTTTTTTACTGTAAAATAATGTTTACATTTTTTATCATAATACTTTATATTTTATTATTTTATGTCTATAGGCCTACTTGTATTGTGTTCTGTGTATTATGAACCTGTGTTTTGTAATTTTTTTAGAGCTACCACCATAAAAATAAATAAATAAATAATAAAAAAAAAACTAAATTGAACAGTAGGCTATTGCTTTTATCCAACAAACTGAATTTAGGGCCTGTACAATTTACTCTTGTAAATTTAACAAAAGCAAGTAAGTTGTAGGCCTATATTCCGCATTATTTTAATCAATAGGCTTAATCAAGAGCTAATCAAAAATATTTCGTAACCACAGAGTTTTATAATAACATTGGCTAACTGCACGTGAACGCCACTGATTTGCTGTGTTTATTCAAAGTAAACGGGTCCAGCAGGTTTGACAGCTTTAGAAAAAAATAGCCTTCATAACAAAAGGCGTCTAAAAATGGCAAACATGCTAGCCTAATATACATTTCTCAGGTTCACACGGAGAAACGCGAGAAGTAACGCAGCGAAATCTCCAGGTGCGACATTAAAATAATTTCAGTCATCTTGAAACGCCAATTTAAAAACGTGAGACACCAGGAGAAACAACACTAAACGAGTTTTCCACTCTTCTTTCCCCCAAAATACATGTTGTTTTACACTCCATCCCGACAAGTGTTAACCAGTGTAGGGCCTATACCGAAATCTGTGACCCACCCACCAGTATTGCTAATAGTGATGGTACGGTTGGGAATTGTGATTATTTGGCCGATTGGCTCAAATACAGCGCCTAGTCACATAATACGGTGAGTCACAGAACACCGGCCCTTATTGTAACTAGACAAATAGCACGTTGCAGAAATCATACAAATCTCCCTTTAACACTGTCATTGTTAACATGAAATGACTAATGCACTTGAGCTCATGACTCCATGACTTTCTCGTCACAGCTGAGATAGCAGTTCTTGACATGATGAAGGCTGTGATTGTGTTGCTCGTTCCTCTTCTGCTTCCCTTGGCTTCTGCTCAGACTTTTCGTTGGGGCCCCTGCCCAACACCAATGGTACAGCCAAACTTTGAACTAAACAAGGTAGGACTATACAAAACTTTAAGTTTAAAATAAATGACTTAATTTTTCTTTTTGAGTGTACTTGTGTTCTTAACATTGTACTGTCTGCTTATATCTCCTCCTTTCATTTCAAGTACCTTGGAAAGTGGTATGAGATCGAAAAGCTCCCAGCATCCTTTGAGAAAGGCAAGTGCATTGAGGCAAACTACGCGCTAAGACCTGACAACACCATCGAAGTTCTCAATGTTCAGACATAGTGAGTAATTTATAGACCAAATCAAGTCTTTTGACTTCTAAATAGAGTTTTCGTCACAATCATTTATCCATGTTTATATAAAACAGCAAAGGAAAGATAAGAAAAGCAGAGGGCACAGCAGTCGTTCAAGACATGAGGGAGCCAGCAAAGCTTGGAGTCAGTTTCTCCTACTGTAAGTCCATCAATGTTTTCAAGAATCTCTTCAATTCTTCAATTGAATCCACTCAATCTCTGTGAAATTCTTTTTCAGTCACACCCTACGCCCCATACTGGGTCCTGTCCACCGACTACAACAGCATTGCTCTTGTTTATTCGTGCACTGATGTTCTCAGACTGTTTCATGTGGACTATGCTTGGATCCTCTCACGCTCACGCATTCTGCCCGCGGAGGCCATCTACCACGCCAAAGAGATCTTCTCACGTGACAACATCGACGTGAGCAAAATGTTCCCCACGGATCAGCAGGGATGCGATGGTCCTTTTTAAACAGTGAAAACTGAAATATATAATACTGGTTCAGAAAAGTTTGTGCCCTCACTATCTCTATTATGAGTGAAAACGCCTTAAATTATCATTATAAAACTACTGTAGCATAAAACTGCTGAACCTAGCTTGCAATATATTGCTATATACATTTTTTTGCACGTCTTTAAAAATAAATAAATGCATAACCTTTTGCCAATTAAGTTATCTGTGTCATCTCATTACTGAATAATTTTAATAAAAACGTGTTTATTTTGTGAATAAACTAAAGTCCTGTCTGTTATTTTCCATGTCTTTTGGAATGCTTGGTGTTTTGTTTTCTATAGACCATTTCACAAGATGTAAACAACACTGGTCCAGAACAACTTCCTGTTTCAGTTTTTTAACACTACAAAAAAGCTGGGATAAAATACAACCAACAGAACATTTAAAACTGAATCAAAAAGTTAAACAAACATCTTTAAGAGGTTTTCTTTACATGTGAAATAAAGAAAATAGTTGCAAACTGAAACAGGAAGTGCTTCTGGACCAGTCTTGTTTACATCTTGTGAAATGGTCTATTGGAAAATAATTGGTTTAAAAATGGAACTATATGTTCATGGAATATGCATAAACCAAACCTATTTGATTTGAAATGCATGCCATAGATGGTCTTGAGTGGTTTCAATGATGTAGATCTAGTTTGGGAGGGGACAAAACTTTCCTAAACTCAGCGTCCAGTCCGTGCAGAACCTGTGAAGCACAAAATCTTTTAGCTCGCAGAAACTGCCGGACCTTGTACAATCAGCGCGGCAAAGGAGGTAATGTTTATTTCCAACACAATTATGAAGGATGTATGAGTGTAGTATGGCAAAATGCAGTTATTTACAATGTTATTTTTAACCATAATTGTAATTAATAAAAGTTTTTTTTTCTTCAGGGAAAGATGAAGTGGAATGTGCTTTTTGGGGTTTTCTTGCTGTGTTTTCTTGCTAATAATCTCAGCAGTAAGTAGTGTACAGTATACTTCTCATATAACTATCATTGGACATTGTAGGCTAGATATTTGCTTACAAGGCATTATAATTAAAAAAGATTTTTTAATTGACATAAACTTGCTATTTGTCAAATAAACAAACTGGAATATATGTTTAAAGGAAAACAATGACATATCATGTTAATATTAAAAACACCTAAGATCTGAGATGTGTTCAGGACAAGTGTGCACATAGTTAGGAATAATATTTGAGAAGGAAATGCTCACATTTCTTGAATCCCTCAGGAGATCCTCAGTTGAATCAGCTCTTTGTAAGGGATTTCATTCACTCTTCCTCTACTTTCTCCTTCCACAGGTGCCAGATTCATTCCTGAAGGGGGTAAACAGTCTATTTATCATTTTGTTTACACACCTTTAACCAGTATATAACCTACAGTATTAATAGTAGCATTTAAAAAATACACAAAGACGCTTTTGTTTGAACACATAATTGGATTGTATGAAATGTTGATGCTGTTTTATTAAGTGTATTGTAGTGTTTGCCAGTCTGAGGATACAAAGAGGCACATTTAGACATTACTTCTGCAGTTATACATCATCAGGAATTCTGGAATGCAAGAATTCAGCAGAAATACACAAGCTCTAATTTTCTTTCTCTCACTTAGTACCCTATGAAAAGCCCCCGGCTGTGCCCTACTGGTCATATTCCACCACAGATTTCTGGAACTATGTGGAATACTTCCGCAGCATTGGGGCCTACGAGCAAATCAATGAAATGGCCAGAACATTCTTCGCCCATCAGCATCTGGGAGATACGCTGGGTTATGAAGTGGCAGAGCAACATGACCACTAAGTGGATGCCATTTGTTTATCAATCATTGTTTAGTTTCTGCCCCTAGAAACTAAAGATGGTTATTGAAATATTACGTAAAACACTTATAATGATGAATCTTGTGCCATATTCCTATAAATAAAAAGGCCATAGGATTCACCGTTTCATTGTTATGTTTCATTAACAGCTTCAGAGTGCATGATTGTGATGTATCATATATAGGAAATGTAAGAAATAAAACAAAAGTCTACATCCCTATTCACAGAGATTATTTTAATACCTTTATTTAAACACTACAATAAACGGTTGGGACCAGTTCTCCAACCGAGCCAGTAGGACCCGTTTTCCAGCCGGTTACATTTTGATGTTACACAACTAGTGATTTGAAGAAAAAAAAAATCCACGAATCGATTCCTTTGAACCGTTCGTTTTGAAGAACTAAGTTAGTTTGATGCGTTTTACGGCATCATGTGGATAGCACTCAAGTCATGTAAAACCACATGTAGCCTCAAATGGCGGTTGATTTTTTATTATAATGCTATTTATTTTCGATTAAAGTTAGTTAGTGTATTAATAGGAGTGTTTGTTGCCATGTGTATTTTATTTATTTATTCCAGTCATTTAGAAATACAGTTCGCCTTAATGCACATGTATTGGAAACGTTTTGTGTAAAGAAGTCATTCAAATCGACTTTGGAAACAGGTTATTAAAAAAGATCCGACTCAAAAGAAAAGTTCATTCACGAATCGGGCATCGCGAATCGAAACAGCACCGGAAACAGAGGGACACAACGAACGGCTTGTTTTGATGAATTTGACGGCGAGCTGAAAAACACACCATTTTAACATTTATTCACCGCTGTTTTGTTTTTTTAAACACTCGTGGTGAAGTTATGAAGCCAGCAGTTGATGAAATGTTTCCCGAGGGAGCTGGTCCGTATGTGGACCTGGATGAGGTTGGTGTTCACAGTTCACACATGGTTCTCAGTACAAGTTCACATACGCTATTAAGTCTCGCATATATGTGATCGAACAGATTTATGTCTCGTTTCTTTTAAAGCTGTATACACAACAGCGTAACGTAGCTGTCATGTGTAGGTTAGCCAATCTTTCTTCCAGTTTGTACACAAGTCAAATTTCCTCAGATGCACACGTTATCAATGCCATTTATTCAATAAATGTTTTGTAGATGTTTGTGGTGTATTATTTGTTCTAAAATGTATGACATTGTTCGTTTAAAATACATGATTGAGTAAATATCAGGCCAGTGTGTTGTAGTGATGTGTGTGTGTGTGTGTGTGTGTGTTGACAGGCAGGGGGCAGCACTGGACTGCTGATGGATCTGGCCGCCAATGAGAAGGCTGTACACTCAGACTTTTTTAATGGTGAGACTCACAAACTCCATATGACTCAATTATCTGATTTACGATACAATACAATACGTTGATCGATTACTTTATTTGACATGTCCAATGGTTTGTAATTACTATAATTTATTTTAATAGAATATGTTTCCCTGGCAACAGTTTTGTTTTTATGTACAAAACCTACAAATGTTCAATATTTATTTTTATGGCCACCATGTACCCATCCTCTGATGGCTACTTCCAGCAGGATAATGGACCATGTCACAAAGCTCGAATCATTTCAAATTGGTTTCTTGAACACGACAATGAGTTCACTGTACTAAAATGGCCCCACAGTCATCAAATCTTAACCCAATCGAGCATCTTCGAGATGTGGTGGAACGGGAGCTTCGTGCCCTGGATGTTCATCCCACAAATCTCCATCAACTGCAAGATGCTATCCTATCAATATGGGCCAACATTTCTAAAGAATGCTTTCAGCACCTTGTTGAATTAATGCCACGTAGAATTAAGGCAGTTCTGAAGGTGAAAATGGATCAAACACTGTATTACTATGGTGTTTCTAATTATTCTTTAGGTGAATGTGTGTATACATATATATGCACACATACATATATAATATGTCTTTGTGTTTGTACTGTATGCATGTGTGAGTGTATATGTTATATATCCAACTAATATTTATATTTTATTTCATCTTTATTTTACTTAACGTAAATGTTTTCATTAGTTTTAGTTAAGTTTAGTATGTGTATGTACTTTTTTTTTGCTTCTGTGCAAAATCTTAAAAAAAAAAAAAAAAAATTCTTTCCTTTATTTAAATTGCTGTTTTCTTTGTTTGCTTGGCAACCGAATGTAAGCCAAAGTGCTTTAGCATGCATACTCTACAATGTTCTTTATACTTTTCCGCCTCCTTTATACACTGTTAGTAAAAGTAGTTTCAGCTTGGCACAGGATGACCTAAAAAGCAGGCAGTTAAAGAGTAAAGCAGGTATGAAGCTGAGCCCATGTAAAGTGCTTTTATTGGGCTGCCCTGGCTCCAGCGCAGCAGGTTTCCCCTCTTATGGCCCCTGTATCCATCTGCAGCGCTTGAAGTAGCTGAACACGTGTCAGTCAGGGGCGTTTTTATCAGGGAAGCTATTATTTTTGAAAGCTTGACGGAAAATAATCCAGAGACCCCGATAGGAGCTCATACCCTTATTTAAGGAACACCATGTCAGAGATGGATATTTGTGCAGACTATTTAATAAACACGTTTATTAAAAAACAAAATGCTTTTCATATTCAGGTTAATTTGCCAAATTAAAAGTTCTGTATTCATAGTGAAATTGTGTGTTGTGCTACTCCTTTACACTTCTCTTTCTCCACAGATTTTGAAGATCTATTTGATGACGATGATATTCAGTGATGAAGAGGACGTATACGGATAATGTTCTCCATTGTATAAAATGTTCATTGTTGTGCATTTAAGTTAGTGATGTAGCATTTGTTAATTCTTCAGTTCATTAATAAACTTGTTTGCAATACAGTCTTCCCTTTGCCAGATGTTTCCACATTTTAAAAATCCCAGACATTCCAAGTCAAAAGTTGGAATTATTATAAACGCTTTTTTCCCTAGGCTGAAATCTGTTTCTAGCCCTGATTGTAGGTTTTTGCACATTCCTGAACACCTGTAAGTGTGCGTAATTACATGTGCGATTCACTGTTAACATGAAGCCCAGATGTTTTACAAGCTGACATTGACAAAAATATTTTTTCTGCCTGTATATATCCAAACTCTTTATTCAGGTTAGGTGATTTTAAAAAAGGCATACTTTAAAGGGATAGTTCACCCAAAAATGTGGTCGTGAGGTAAAGTAAATGATGACAAAATGTTCAATTTATGGGTGAACTTTCCCTTTAACTCTTAATCTGCATCACAAACAGGGTTTAAATTGTGAAAGATCACTTTTAAAGGGTTAGTTCACCTCATTTTTAGTTAGTTTAATCAAACAGATCTCATTCCCCATTGACTTCCATATGGAAGTCAATGGGGAATGAGATCTGTTTGATTAAAACATTCTTCCAAATATCTTCCTTTGTGTGTAGCAGAACAAATAAACACATAGAGGTTTGGAACAACATGAGGGTGAGTAAATACTGACAGAATTTACATTTTTGGTTGAACTAACCCTTTAATGTCAATCTGTGCAGTTAATTGTGGTTTGATTGAGCTGGTGCTTGGCAGATGTGTGAATGAAAAAAAATCCCCATGAGGTTGTTTACAAAGTTTGCTGCACTTGACGGTTCAGTGCATTTCATCTGTGACACAATATTCAGTATAGAGATTTGTGTGTTACTCAGTTAGATGAAGATAAGAATTGTCGCTTGATGAAACCATAATGGGAGCGCCCTCCTCCATTTACTCAGCAATGTTAAGACATGTAGATGTTCCCAGTTGCTAATTACAAAGTGCAAACTTGGAAGCATATTGGCCTGATTCAACTTAAAATAAATTTAGATTTGTTACTGGTTCTCATAAAACAAAAAACAACAACACTTATTTAGTAACTGAGAGCTAATGCAAAGTTACCAAATATGCTTTTTTTGCACTCTCAATTTTGAAAGCATCTAGTTTAAACCATCTAAATGAAAAACAGTTGATGTTCTTTTCTCTCCTGCTGTGCCTGTCTACAATTACAACATCTGATTGGTTGACTTTCTTGGCCATAGAAAGCCAATGGTAGTGTTGGAAGCAGCGTGTACTTGGCCCCATGGGATGCACCTTTTTTGTCTTTAATGATCAAGGTTGGGTTTAAATTGTGGCCAGGTTTTAGCGGTGGCACAGTCGGTGTACAGGGGTGTGTTGAGAGTACACGAGGGGATTGACTCACCTTCCTCTTCCAGTCAGTCAGCTGTGGAGCTGAACTTCCAGGCCCAGTCGGCTGTCTCTTCAGTGGTTCACGTCGCCACATCCTAACAGGTAAGACACAGACTCATTATAAAGCCATTGCACATTAACAATATGCAGATGTGCTCCAATTTTTACTATGCCAACAGAATGCACCAAAACATTTATTTTTTTTGCAGTTAGATAGGAAAATCCATTTATAATTATGCGTTTAAGACTATATTTCAAATGTTTTGTTTCTGTTCATCTTGAAAGCTGCACCAGCAAAAATACTGACATTTTACAGGAATATGATGAGATGGTGTAAAGAGCTTGAATGTGTAAATGCAATGTTTGTTGAACTTACCTGGGGGGAAAAAAACTTCATTTTCTTTGTATACAGGCGTAACAACAAATAATGAGCTGGTAATCGACCATAAAGAGTTATTTTTTGTCAAATTCTGTTTATATGTAAAAGTTTTCTTTTCCTACGTGATCTCCAAATTTTTACATATTTTTAAATGTAGATCATAAATATCAGGGAGCAAAAGTAAGCTTTTTCTCATAATGATTTTGATTGAGGTTCATCATATTAAAGCATGGATTTGAAAGCTTATGAAAATGCAAATAAATGCTATAATTATTGTTGTTTATTCAAAGGAATCAGGAGGGTTACGAATGGCTCGATCTTCTATCTTCCATGTGTTGCTGCTAGCAACGTTATTACCAGGTGAAATTTCTGAATTATTATGTTAATAATATCTGTTCTGTGGTACAAAACCTTATTTTTAGTAGTTCTATGGTAAAATAAATACCAGATCTGTTAAAAGCTTTATGACTTTGTATCTTCTGACACAAATTTCCCTAAAAGTTCTGTATCTGTGGTAAAATAAATACCAGATCTTTTAAAAGCTTTATGACTTTGTATCTTCTGACTGAAATTTCCCTAAAAGTTCTGTATCAAATGAGGGGGTGTCGGGTTTCTGAGCTCTTTGCTTTTTGCTTTGCAACTGATAAAATGATTAGCAGTTGTCAGCAAAACTCTTAAGTGCACTGGCTTTCCAGATGTGGCAGCAGTTTACAAGCTCATAAAAAATAAACTTGCTGATCCTCTGAAGGAGCAACATTTCCTTTACCTACGTCGATTCAAATAAGACACTGAGATCACCTCATAGTAAACACTACACATCCGTGATCCCCGGCCCTCGTCTCCATTCCAGCAGAGATGAACGTTGGATAAGGTGTCAGTTCAGACATTTTCTGATGCTAGGATAATTAGGTTCACCTGTAGATATATAGGCTCCTTCCCTTTGTAGATTTTATAGCTTTTACTTGTATGAGCCCAGTTACTGCAGCCCCCAGCCAGGCATCAAAGTGCTGATGAGCGCTGTTTGAAGATTAATTTCCAACAAACCCCTGTATATTACCACCTTCCCCTCCCCCACACAACTTGTAAAACTGCATCCTGCTGCCCTCAGCTCTTTGGGTCTTTACTGTCTGTAAGCATTTCCTACTCTGTCTTTGACAAAGGCAACATCTGGTTGAGACTTGGACCCCCTAATTTTTCTCTCTCTCTACTCTTCTTCTTTATCAGAGCTTCTGTTGGCTGGCCCTGTGACCCAGCGTTTAAAAGGAGACGGTAAGTATGGCTTGTTCTCCTGTTCTTCCAGTCTTTGTTGAGTCTCAAATTCAATAGCTACAGTATAATCTGTGTGTGAATGTTAGATATGTACAACTAACTAACACAATGTTTCTGCCAGATGGAAGCGATGAAAAGGCAAGCCCAAAGAGGCTAATCCGCAACAGGAGAAACATCAGTTGGTACAAGCAGCACTCTGACTTCTGGAGCTGGTACAAATACTTCACTGACAATGGGAACCAAGAGGGAGTGAGTACAGCATATTGTGAACTAAACAGGAAAACACAGTACACCTGCAGGACCTACAACTGTTCATAGTTTTTGCATAGATTAATCTGAGGAATGCCCAATATAATCGGTACCTTGCATGTCGGTTATTGGCCAATATCGTTGAACTTATCAGTAACAACCAATAGTTTTAAAGGCGCATGGTCGTCGTGTATTTTTACATTTAGATTGTACATTTTGCCATTTATTTTATCATTTGTTTGTAATTTGTTTGTTTTTATAAAAAAAGTTTTTTTATTTTTTAGATCGGCCATTTATCGGTAATTGGCCATCATGTGAAAATAGTTACTGGAAACTTAAAACTATAAAAAGTTAGGGTATGATTAAGGCTACTTATGGATTTTATGTTGGTTGTATAATCCAAGCACTGAATCAAGATAATTTGTTGTGAACTTTCAGATTGCAGAGCTGGATCGCGTCTATCTGGCTTACTTGCAGAACAAGAACCGTGCCGAGTCACGCAGTTCCTACAAGTTGTACCTGCAGCACCTAGGCGACATCTACAAGTCTTGTGCCGAGTCTGATGACCCAAACTGCGTGGCCTCATACACCAACAGACCCAAGCCCAAGGCTGAGGCACCAGCGCCTGCCCCAATCAAGTCTTGTGACCCTTACAGAGACCCGTATTGCATGCACTCGAAGGGATACTCATATTACCCCTACTTGGCTCCGGTCAAAGCCCCTGCACCTGCTCCAGTGAAAGCCCCAGCTTATCTCCACACCCCTGTGGTGAAGGATCCCCGTTCCAGTTACTACTACTACTCTCCGTTGGTGCAACCCTTCCTGTCAGCTGAGAAGAGAGCCGAGTTGTTGCGCATCTGTGATGCAGAAGATGTCGAGTGTCTCCAGTACCACCTCCGTGCTGCTTACGGATACAAACCCGCTGCTGCCCCGGCCCCATCCTACGCCTATCTCGGCTGCGACCCAAAGACAGATCCTCACTGCGTACCCCATCTGGCTCAGAAGGCGCCGCCTAGTCTGTATCTGCGGTATCCCCATTGTGACCCTCGGGTTGACCCATACTGTGCTTATGCTGCTGCTCTGGCATCCTCGCAGAACCTCGAAGCCCCACCTTCTGGCTTGGAGAGATCCTGCAACCCTCTCTATGATAATAACTGCAACCCTCTGACGGCCACAAGGTTTGGAAGCTTGGCCTCTGACGATCTGAAGGACGAGCCCGCCTCTGAAGCCGGCGCCATGCGGGTACCTCCGAGCCCTCGTCACGACCCTTACGCCATGTACCGAGATGCATCTGCTGGGGCTGACCTGCGAAGACACATGCCTACACAGTTCCAGCCTCCAAGGCACCAACCGGAGGAAACTCAACATCCTTTGGGACCTCGCGGGAAGACCAAAGAGGGATATGACTGTTTCATTGGGTATGATGCAGAGTGCCTCCCACTGGGTTCCCAAAACGAGCCCCGTAGTGCTGTGCACAGACAGACGCCCCACCCGGCCGAAGCCTATGAGCCTCACCTGAATGCTGATGGATCCAGAAACGGGGTGGTCGAGCCTGATCCCGACTGCGACCCAGAGTACGACAGTAACTGTCGCTTGCGCCGATATGAGGCGGCCGAACCCGCTAGTCCTTCACCACAAGACGAGCATCCAGCTCAGGAGCAATCCCACGAGGAGGTCCCCCAGCATCGAGAAGAGTCCTACCCTGAGACCCCAGGCTATGAGCAGCAATACGAGCCCTACATGAGTGGACAAGAGGATCCATATGCAGGATACGGCCCCCAGGAACCAGGAGCGACTAGTTTTCAGGATGTCCTGAGAGGATATGGTGGTCTGTATCCTGGCCAGGATGACCACCGTGCCTACAATGGAGACTACAGAAACAAATAAATCCCTGTGACAATGTATGCCAAAAATAGTAGATCAGGACAGAATGTGTTTATTGTAGATAAATATTGAACTGCACACTTGTAGAAAAGGTGCACAGGATTTCACTTGGTTCACACAATATTTTCGAGAGCTGCTGAAATTTCCTAGCTCTGGAGTTTGACAGCACTTTTATAGGGATTTTTGTTTTACTGATTCTTTAAGCCCATGTAACCTGGTTGTGTGTTGCAGCTTCTCTAGGAGATTGACTGCTCTATTTTCTAATCGAGGAGCACTCTTCCTAGCTGGGAAAAATAAGCCAAACAAAGTGTATAAAAGATCAATAGTGTACTTGAATAAACTGTAATCATGATCACCTCCCCCATTTTGGTTAGATTCACCAGATAATCTCCCTTCAAATTAATATTTAATGAACTTCTGGACCCTTGCTTATTTGTATTCTTTTTTTAAATTGCCAAATTGATGCTTTGTGATTTGTTTGCATATTTGTAAGATGTTTTTCTTTGAATGTTTCAAATAAAAGCTTTAAAGATCTTGAGCTCTTTTTATTTGCAAATGTATGATTATTACTGACAAACTACCTAATTTAACAAACAAATAGTTTTTCAATTTAATACAAATTATAATCTTTTTTAAAAGGCTTTTGGCAGATTTGTTTTTGATGGAACTATCATACAAATGCTACAACTTCTTAACATTCACAATACACTGACACTTTTTCATTCATTTTCAGTAAAACTGCTTTGAAACGATTGTGAAATGTGAACAGCTCTATACGAAAAAAAAAAAAAAAGTCAACCGAATTAAGCGGAAATTGACATGCACACACTCAACAATAATGAAATAGCCTGCACTTAATTAGCATATAAATCCATATTTAATAAGCACCCCACCAGTACACATTCTCCTTTCAAAGTTTAGTAGTTTCACAGTTTTCACAACAGCAATCTTATAATTAGCAGGATTTTCAGTTAACTGCTTTGGGGGTTAAGAGAGATGCTAAATCATTCCATAATGAAGAGGTTCCTACAAAACACAATTAAAGGTGTGACAGAAACCGCACAATTAACATTAATAAATATAAATCAGCTGCGAAGCTATTTTGGTTAAAAACAATGCTATACTAACTGCAATTAAGGACTTCTACAACAAGATTGCAAGTATTTTACACCCAAAAACACACTCTAAAGTAAAATATAATTATAAGGTAATAGCTCAGCATTTATGATGACATATACTGATCTTGAACTTGGATTAAAATATCTGCAAGGATTATGTGTGCAAAACTACACTGAAAAAAAGCCAGTTGGCTAGATGTGATGTTTAGTGGGTGGGCAGGCAGACTCTCTGTGATCTGGCCTGTGTATATATATATATATATAAAACACTGCAAATAATCTTTGCATGCTGCATTAAACTGTTCAATGAGATTAAGTGAACATTTGCATACAGATGGTGTCATCGTCTGCGGTTGTCAAATGGGTTGCTTAAGATTTTAGGAGTCAAAAGGAAGCCAGTGAAAGTGGAGTCATTGTTGATATCAGCATAAATCCCTTCATCAAATATGTCATCATACAACTGAAGCCAAACCTCATCTCCAGCAGAAAGATTTAAAATCGTTCCTCCAGAGGCCTGATCTAGATTTCCGTTGTGGAACTGGTCAAGAGTGAAGGCCACAGTCCGGCCATTTTGGAACATCGCTACCTTGGTCTCCTTCCCGTTGATAGTGAGGTGATAAGTAAAGTAGTAGATCCCAGGGATTTCACAGCGAAACTTTCCAGAGAGGTCATCGTAGTGGTTCTGCTCATTGTAGAAGGTCTTTGTAAAGCGGATTGGAGCTCCACTAGCGGGGCTTTTACCTGTAAGTCCCATGCTAAAAGCCGAGTGGTAGGGAAAGGAACCCTCTCCACGTTCTCCTTTCAGACCTGGGTTTCCAGGAAATCCTCTTTTGCCTGCAAATCCCTCGTCCCCTGTTTCACCTGGCTCTCCGTTTGGTCCCTTGGAGCCTTGACAAAGATAATTGAAGAGACTTAGGCCACGTTCATGCAGCAGTAGGAATTGGTTGTCAGTCCTGTATTTGAATCCTTAATACGGTTATATTCACACAATGTTCAGTTATTTATGGGAGTGAGAACTACTTTCTATATCCAAAGTCACACCTGTAAATATTCAGGAGGATTCACAACTCACATTCTCGGAAAACATGCACTGTATAAGCAGATCACCAGTCTGGACAATAGCGGTCTTGTCACATAATCTGCACAGCACAAATTCAAGTTTTGTGTGGTTTTCGGTAATCTATAAAGTACAGTTACAGAGATATGAGGGTTTTAGATCCAGTCTAAACTGCAAACTGTCAATGGATCGAGGTAAGACTGCTGAGCCTATATGTACCCTCTTCATTGATTGCTGTCCACTCATGTTAATTATCTGAACGTGCTCCTCCCGAACTTAGTTAAAACTTCATTTAGTGGCATTGATGGTTCCATAAAGAACTTTTAACATCCATGGAACCTTTCATACCACAAAAAATGTTCTTCGAAGAACTGTTCTGAAAGGTTCTTTGGGATACACTGTGATATCACTGTGAAGCTGCTTTGATACAATCTGTATTGTGAAAAGCGCTATATAAATAAATGTGACTTGACTTGACTTGATACTCAAATGGTGGAGATTCCTGGAGGGCCACTTTCCTGCAGAGTTTAGCTCAAACCATGATCGAACTCAGAGAAGTAACTCTGAAGACCTTGACTAGCTTGTTCAAGGATGTTTGATTAGGGTTGGATTTACCCCACCCACCCCCAAATATAAATGTAAAATAAAAACATTTACATTTACTTACGTATTTTGGCAGACGCTTTCATATGTTTATTGTTTAAACCTGATTTATTTTGTTTTAACCCTATTTATTTGACTGTTTTTCATAATGTGATTTTCTGTGAACCCTAGGCGTATTGGAAATGTGGTTTTCAAGGACACTTAATACTATTAGGAGTCTGCTAATGAATCACCTGGATCTCCGGTATCTCCCTTGTCCCCCTCATGCCCATCACGTCCATCCCGTCCGGGGATTCCATTGAACCCTGGTGTTCCAGAAACACCCCTCATCCAGCGGGCACAAGGTTCCCTGCTGTCCTTCTCAGTCAGAGCTGTGTTCTCCTCCTGAGAGACGCCCAGTCTGGCTGCCATTATCACAAAAAGCACAGCTATCCATGCACTCTTCATCGCAAGGGCCATGTGATCAAATCTGTTGTGTTACAATTTAAAAGCATTTAGAAATCATAACCATAAATTTCAGGAATAGACAAGCATGTCTTATCCTACCTGGCCATCAAAAGAGTGTCCTTTACGGTGTTTTGTGTGGAGTGATAGCTTGAGCTGTTGTCCTTTTGCCTTTTAAAAACTTGTGTGCAAGTCTCCTCTGTGCTTGTCATCCCTAAAAATATCTGACTGGACATGCAAAGCAGCTGTTGGTATTAAACAAGGGGTCACACTATCACATTCAGATAAGACTGAAGTGTGGGTTTTCTACATTTATTGTTGTCGATTGATTCATTCCTGCTGCCTGCTAGTCAGTTTAATGCACACTAGGCATGGGGAACTTATAGATTATCTGATATCTTTTGAAGCTTTTTGAATATTATGAGGTGTCTGCTTATTTCAGGAGGGACCTGGTCTGCTAACCTGGTAAGACCCATTTAGTTTGGAATCTAGCCATACCATTCACCAATACAGCTAAGATGAGAAAAGGGAGAACTTCTGTATCTATCTAATCATTGGGTGCCACCTTGTGGCTAATATAAGTATTGTTATTTATAGAAAAGGTGTTTACATGAGACACAATTTATTATTGGACGCATGATGATTTCTGAAGTATCACGTGACACTGAAGACTGCTGAAAATTCGATTTGACATCACAGGAAATAATATATTTAAAAATGTTACTTTGTTTCACAATATTACTGTTTTTGCTGATGGAAAAAAAGTAGGGCTTGGTGAGAAAAAAAGAAAATTAAAATTCATACAGAAATCAAACTTCTAAACGGTATTGTGTATGATATACATACGAATGATAGATTATTATACGGTAGATTATTAATTACAACTACATTTAAATGTAATTCTTTTGTTTGAAGCACTGTCAAGGTAGGCTGGTCTAGAATTAAAATGTTACCTCATCCTTTGATAATAAGGTTAGCATAACCAAGCTTAACGGACATGGTGATTTTATCATAATGCATAAGCTATTATGTAGTGGATGAGTCTCCAGGTCTATATAAGGACTCTCAGAGTTAATTAGACGCTTCATTAAAACATGAAATGTTTAAGTTCTCGTTTCTCTGCTCTTCCCATCTCAGCTGTCCTGTAAAAGGTCAGTGTTCATCTCACACAGATCCCTATGCGCCACCTGACACTTCACTGGACTAATTGTATAGCTTGTACTGATTTTAAAATGCCAACATTTTGGGGTAAAAACAATGTTTTACTGAAATGTCATGACTATGAATAATCCTCCTCCTATTTCACCTTTGAATCAGCACCATCGATCTACAACTGTGTTTGTTTAAGCCAATAGGTGTGAGCACAATGAACACATTAGTTGTGTTGAGAGCAAGAATATACCCTATTCATTTATAATTGTATCAATAATTGCTCATTATAGGTCAGTCATACATACACAGGGGGTTATTAACACTATAAAACCTACTGTATCATATTTGAAACACAAATTTCTCGAAACTCGAAATTAAGGCCTCAAAACTATCATCATGACCAAAGCTTTGCTGAAAAAAATTATTATTGGGTTGCTGTATGCATTATGATTCGTCCCCCACAATAAAAATCTTTGATCATCAAACTAAGCATTTAAGTATCATCTTGTGTAAGGTTGTAATGGTTGGAGATTTTCACAGTATGATAACATCTTAGAAAAGATGATGGTTTACAGTATTAATCAATTACTGTATTATTAAATTATGGTTATTATTATTATTATCATCATCAGTTAAATGAATGAAAACAGAAACTTGAAACAATTTGTTTGTTTTGTTAAAGGTATAGCGGAGGATCTTTCCGAATTTTAGAGAAGACCCGCCCTCTCCAATTTTTTAAAAAAATGCACATGCACAAACACAACACTCTTGTTCCCGAGAGGGAACGTCTACGCCTTGCACAATTATGTTGCAAATTCTGAACTAACTAAAAAACATTCATAAAAAAGACAACATGTCAAATGCCCTTCCGTGTTTTATTTACTTATTATACTGATCGACTGAGTGACCGAGGACTCAAGACATGATATGTGCAACCCTGTATCACACGAAATACGTTCTGAGGAAACTATTTTGCAAATCGCAATTACGTTACATAGCAACATAAGCAGTGCTATTACGTTGGTCCTTAACCTAATATCTCTCATTGTTAATACGTTGTTTTTATACATAGTTGCATATGGAGAAGTAGCTTGTTGCATTTGTGTAATAATAAACACACAAGATTTTAGAATATTTCAGTGTGATACCATTTACCATTTTGGACAAAAGGCTACTTTAGACAAATTGAGATGTTTACCGTGTCTATGCGGTGCATGACTCGTGCCAGGGCTAGCATTGTAGCTTGCATTAACTTTTACTAGTGATTTTAAATGGATTTCTCCAAATAGCGTGACAAACTTTACCTGTGTAGTAGAATCTTCGCGACTGCGGCATCAGTGAGAAGCCCAACCTGTGCTTTTACCGCACGCCAGCGTGTGATATTCACCCAAAATCTCTCTGGTCTTGTTTCTATATTCTGCGGCCTTTCTCTTCTTATCATACACTTAGTAAACATTTTTTCTCTTTCGACCCTCAGCCATTTTCAAAGGAATGGCTGAAACCGTAACTCCGACATAATACACCTGAAAGTGAAAACTCCGTACGTAGGGATGAGCACGTAGCCTACGACGGCCTTACGTAAACATATCACCAGATTGATTGACACTTAGGTGGACCAATAGTATAGACTACCCACCCGGAAAAAGAAAATCCTCCGCTATACCTTTAATTAAAATTTCAATAAAACATGTCTAATCAATTAAATGCGATAATTGATAATGAATTAGATTAACAACTTATTTTTAACATTAATCATTTATTAAAATGTTTAAGAATAATATTGTCCTATGAAATATATATATATATATATATATATATATATATATATATATATATATATATATATACATATATATATATATATTCAGAAAATTATTGTTTATTTTAATGATTTAATCCAAATATATTATCAAAAACGGTGGTAATCAAATGTAAATTTAAACTTGTGTCCTTTTATTTTTTGGGGAAGCGGTGCAAAAACAGATTGACTATGCATGGACAAAAAATATATTCCTTTAAATAATGTTTAAATAAAATTTATTGTTATTATTATTATTTTGAGAAGTAGAAAAGTAATATATTTCTGTCAATCTCTCCTAGTAAAACTTAACTTCAAAAATGTAAAAAAGTGTTTCAAAGTTTATTTGACAATGGGTTTGTTTTTCTCAAATAAAATTATGAAACTTCTCATTAGGCGTTCTCTCAGAGAAGCTCTGCAAATGTTCATGCAAGTTATTTATATCCTCAAATTGTTTGTGAGACGCTGAAAACACCATGAACGTCACGCGTAACGTACTTAAGTATGTAGTAGACAAAGCGGCGCAGCTCAGCACAACAAATAGGGTTATTTATTAACATGCAGTATTTTTGTGCTTAAAATTAATGTTCACAGACCATCGTCCATCACTCATTTTGCGTGTTACGTGAAATCTGCGTTATGCAAATTCCATTTTCATGACTTGATTCCCTCTGCGCAAGTCATTCGGCCTTAAGTTATTAACTGGACATAGCCTACCTTTCTCTGCAGGAGGTATGGTGTCCTATATATGTATCCGCCTTTTGCATTCACTTTGCGTCCACATTTTTTTTTGGAAATTGGATATCTATCCTCGAGGACAACAGCACTTTCAGCTGGGTCTCTGCGTTACCTTTCTTGCACTTTCTCCCGCCCTTCAACATGCAGTTTCCGGAGTGTAATTTTTTTTCCTCTCCCTTACTCAGTAACGGATATGATAAGAAATTATTGGAATGATAAGTAAAATATTTCAAACAAAACGTACTTACGTAAAAGTAAAAGTACAGAGTAACGCGAGTAAATTGAATTCGTTACTTTCCACCGACCTCTGCATATCGGGATTTACCTGCTTGTACTCGCCCCCTATGTACTCGTTGCTTTCCAGTGTTGACAATTTTGATGTCTACAAAAAAGAGGAAAGGAAATATTTACAAAATATGCAAATTTTGACATAATGACCTTTGATACATAATGACTTGGTAAAGCCATTTAAATATTAGCAATGTAGATTTAGAGGAGCATATTAGAGCCGGTTTGGTACATAAGTTTTGTATTGTCAAACAAAAGAGAAAACTGGAGCATAAAATGTAAGTATTAAGTAACATGCCAAGTAATTAACCAGATTTTTTTTTTTTTTACATGAAAACACTATATTTAGTTCAGAGACCTTAAGGAGATTCGTTCTATTGAAGCAGTCATCTTTTGCCAGCACAAATAACATGCCTCTACAGGGAAAATCATCATTGAGATCTTTCAGGGCACAGTCACACTGAACAGAGTCGAAATGTAAACAAGTGTGCATCGATTACCATGGATACAAATGAGGAATCTGAGTTTCAACCCAGCATAAGGCAAACCAAATAGGCTTATCTTAGTACTGCAGAGGTTTCCAATATGTAGTTGGAGTTATTTCGCAGCTGCTTGTTTGCAGCTCTAAAATGATTCCTCTAGAATTGGATTATACAGGTAATAGAGGAATAATACTGTGATGGGATTATTAAGATTATGACAGTTTCATTCAGGAGAGGAAAATATGCAGTTACAGTTGAAAATGGGTTTTCATGACATCCCATGTTTCAAAATAAACTGTTTGAAAGTGCAACTTCATAAAAAAAAGCTGAGGTAGAAAGTTGCCAAGCTGAAGTTGAAGGAAAAGTTCCCAAAGCCCGTCAAAGTCTATTTCTCTCTTATTGAAGACAGCTCAGGCAAGCTGCTAGTTAGCGCAAACAGAGCTCGCTATTGGATAAACATTGGCCGAATGACACCTTGATCCCTTTAATCCCAAATGGGGATGAAATAATGAAAATTAGGGAAATTTCATTGTGTGCCAGTGATATTAGCGTTTGATCAAATAGCGTGTTCATCTTCCATACCTCTAATGATTAGCTTAATGAAAGTCTCTGTAAACTATCACTTCTGAACTCTTTGCATTTAAGAGGCTTAGGCATGATAAGCTGACCACATTTCTGAAATGAAAAACATGGCTTTATTCAGCTTAATATATAATTGAAATTGCGAATGAAATGAATTGATGAATTTGGTAATACATAACCACTTTTTTACATTCACGTATACATGTTTTTTTACTAGGAGCTTGCAGCTATCAGACTCGGATAACTTAAGACATGGAGTTATTTCCATTTGTATTTAAAAAATGAGTAAATAAATAAAATAGAATAAATTGATTATTACACTTTATTATTTCACTGAGACAGTAAAAATGTGTACATGTTCAAGGAAAGGACATCTTCACCTGTGGACAAGCAAACAAAAAGGGGGACCCTCCTGGGAAGCAAAGATGTCTGATTGCTCTAACTATGATGAAGGCAAATGCTAGTTTTTAATTAAGATTTATGGCAGGATGGCAGATCATTTCTCAGCGTCCAGATATTAAGTTCATCGTTTGGAAGAAACCTCATTCAAACACCGGAGAGCAGAAAAATATGAATCCACTATATAATTCCCTGAGTCGTTCTTCAGTAGGCCTATTTAGGGGATATTAATTACAGTCCATTAGGTGAGAGGCTTCTTG